GAACGTGTGGGGGAATGGCGGGACGCGTTCTTCCGTGGCCTGGGAATGGCTTTTGTGTGCCGGCCTGGGCAGCCTGCGAGCCGTGAGTGCTCCCGTCGCTGCCCGGGGACTCCCCGGGCCATCGCGGGCTGCCCCGCTTGTTTCCTGGCGTCTTCGGGACAGGGAAAGAGAAGATCCTGCTCCTTTGGCTGGTTGATGTGGGGTGAGGGAAGGATTGCTGGGGAACGGGTCTCTAAAATAACAACGCTGTTAGCACAGAGCTGGAACCTGGGGAGATTCTCTACAAGTCAAAATTATTGATTAGGGACCAGAATTCTTCGGTTACTTGTTTCTTAATTGTACAGAACGTTCCTGACCTTAGAACAAATTCAGAGCAATTGAAAAACAAGGCTTGAAAAGCATCAGGACAGATGTCATGATTCAGATCTCATAAAGGGAGAAAAGCTGAATTTGACAGATTTTAGTCTAGTAGATCATGAAAGAAATGTAGGGATGTGTGGAATATAAGGCATTTCACTCTTTGTAGCACCATTTGACTTTGCAGTCTGCTCATCTATTAAGTGCTTCTATTGGAGACAAGCCAGTCCCAAGGGCTCCCTGTGTTAAGGTTCACTTCAAGTTTACACTTTGTAAGAGAAGCATATTCCTACATCCTCAACATGATGCCTAAGGTTGGCTCTAAAGCACTTTCTCTTTATTTAACCATATCAATGATCAGTGGGACATTAGCCCATATACAGGACTTGGCATTTCTATGACATATTTAGGGTAGCCAAGAAATCCAAGTGGCCTAAAGCAATCCCAGTGAAGCAGGCAAGATTTCTTTGACCCAGTTGAGGCTAGCATGCCTTTTGAGGGAGGAGATTGGATTTGTTTTGCTCAAGTTCATCAAAAGGTCTCTGGAATGGAAAGCATTTCTTCCCAAGTCCTTGAAGACTGCCGGTAAATTCTTTCAGGTGGTCTTGATAATTCTTTGAGGCTACATGCTTGTGTTTCTCAGTAGTATTCTGATAGTTCCAAATTTCTTATTCTGCCTTAGTTGAATGGATGTGCCATAGTTGTCAAGGAGGACAGCTTAATAAGGGACACAGACGTGATGTCAGACATAGATATGATGCTGCCTTTGCTTTTTGTGTATCAAGAAGGTGAAAGATTTGGTGTCCAGATATGAACAGAACCTGGGGTGGTTATCACTGGGTGTGTGTCCCTGCCTAAGTCCACTGGGCACCTTTTTCCCGGTTGAGAGGACACCAGGTTTGGCTCTCAGGAGGGGACAGGCTGCATTCTAACTTACATCACTCTACTAGAAATTTGGTCTTGTGGCTGAGTCTTGTCTATATAGCTGCTAGTTCTGAGCAAATGCATCTCTATTCTAGTTCACACTCTGGGCAGCTGTGATGTGTTTTTCTTGCACTGGAAAATGGGGTTTAACCTTGGGTCTTCCCTGACAGACCCCTTTACTGTCAGGTGATGGGCACCTGGAGTTTGGCAGCTGTTCTGTGCCACCCACGAGTTTCCCTGCCAGGGAGTTGAGCTCCTAACCCAGGGGTGCCAACAGTGCCGTGCCAGCACTTGGTCTGTCCAGCTGCCACCAGATGTGGTTTGATCAGAAGTGATCTGTGCAAAACAGCTCCTCTTCCCCATGTACTTTTTGTTCAGATTTGCTGGCATAGCCATTTGAATAATGGCTTTGTAATCCAGTTGTCCCAGAATGAAGACTGCTGCTTTAAATACCTTTAATGGAGAATTGGGTTTTTCTTCTAATCCTTGGTACCCAGCGAAGAGCTGCACATCCACCAGTGGTTTCTTTCAAGACTACAGAAAAGTAAACATCTTCCTCTTCTGACTTAGTAGTAAAGAGGGTGGGGAGTAGATGTAAATAAAAATATTTACAAATCCAGTTTAAAATTGCCAGCACTTATCAAGGTAGACTGTTGTTCTGGCAATCCATTAGAAGCATGGACTTCAGCATGACCTTCAGTGTGTGTATGAATGAGGAGCAGTGAAGAGTGCTGGGAGTTGGAAGGAGCCTAAGTTTCTCCTTGTGTGACATGACAGACACAAAGTAGTTGCTAACCAGTGTTTGTCAATGGGACCTGCAGAGCTGCAGCCTGACTTTTGTGAGCAAAATGAAGGAATCCAGCAGCTTCTCACAAAGGAACATTTTGTCATATTATTTGAGCAATGTCAGACATTTAGGTGTTGATGTCACAACTGAGTTTACTGCAGGTATTTTACCCTCAGTTTTGTCTTAAGCAAATCTTTTCTACCTGCAAAACAATTTGTTTGAGCCTGGGAATATTTTCTGAGCTTTGACTGTGTGTGCAGGTTACACGGGGAGTTAGCGCAGCAAGTCAGCTGTGCATGGAACCTCTCTGTGCTGCAAGTAACTCAATCACTTCTTGTTGCTCAGGTTTTGGTTTGCAGGGAGATTTTCTGTCCAGTGAAGCTGGTTCTGATTACTACAGTGGTAGATTATAAACTCCTCAGGGATGATTTGCCTTTTGATTTGCGAGGGATTGAGCACATGGTAAAGGCTCAATTTTGTGATGTCAGTCTCATACCAGGGTCTGACTTTAGAAGCAGTGTGTGCTGTAGCTCACTGCCCTCAGCTGCTGCCTGAATTCAGTCAAGGTAAATATAGCTCCAAAGTAGTTACATCTGTATCTGAGAGTCTTTCCAAATGCAGAACTTGTTTTCTGTTTTTTCAGTCCTGCCCAATTACTAGAAAATTAGCATGCTACCTACGTGTTCTTGCCTAAACAACTTTTTTCTCCCCTTGTTTGTCTTTTTGCATCCACTACATTGGAAATTTGGGATTTTTTGAACCTATTTCTGTGGCAACAGATTATAGGTTCACAGAAGGAAGTATTATTGGTTTTATTAGTATTATTATTAGTAGTAGTATTAGTATTATTAGTGGTTGAAGCCTACTTGTTATATTTGCACGGCTTTTGCACCTGTGATAGTGAGATTGGACTAATACAGCAGGTGTTGCTGTCCATCCTTCATCTGGCTGTTCTGACATGTGCTTGGCTTTTGGACAGCTCATGGAGAACTCAGACTATCAACCTAGATTTGTCTGCTTTAAACTCTGGGCTGGTTTGGTTTGGTTTTTTTTGCCTCTTAGTTTTAGCAGTGATATTTTTAACTCAGATCAGTTGAGCCCCCTTGGCAGTGAAGAAAGTTGAGCAGGGAATATTCATTTTAAGAGGGGTGTGGGTGTTTGCATCTATTTTGAGATGAGAATCTGTCATCCTAGTAGCTCCAGCCATTTTCTTTCAGCATCTGGCAGGGAATCCTCTGTACATTCTGACTTTTTCAGTGCTTCATTTCAAATATATCCTCATTGTTAGTGCCTAAACAGGAGGCTTAGACATTGCTTGAGGGTTTGATATTTTATGAATTGAGTTTCAAGGCACAGTCTATGGAAATGGGAAAAATGTTTATTGTGGAGATGCAGCTACAGAGGTGATGGCTGAGAGATGTCTGGCTGTTTGGTTGCAGGGTGCCAGACAACATTTCTGCAGCTTTGAGATGTTTCAGCAGCAGAGAACATTTCCTAGAGCTGAGGGAAGTTGCTCTCAGCTGGGAACACCTCAGCTCCTGTTGGCTGCTCCCCTGCTCCTCTCTGCTGCTGCAGTGGAGCCTCACAGATGAGTTCCCTGGTGGAGCTGGGCTGGTGGCAGCTGGGTCCATCTGTCTGCATAGCTGCCATAGCAGGTCCTGAGCAGCTGCCCTCCCTTGGAAGTGTGACTGGCACTGGTTCTGATAAACCCAGACAGCTGGGCTGTGCCTTGACCTGCCAGGAGGCTCCTCCTGGGGATTTCACTGAGTTTTGAGACAAATGCAGAGCTTCTCTAGCAGGCAGGCTCAGGCTGCTGAAGTTCTTTGCTCAAACATCTGTCACAACCTGTTGTGGTGGGGCCACGTCGCAGCTGTTTGTCTGTACTGGCTGCTGCTTTAACAGGATTGCTTCAGAAAACAAGGGGCTCATGGATCAAGGTCATTAGTCTTCATCCCTTCAGTTCTAGTGCATGAAAGCAGAAGATGAAATGGTGATTCCTCAGTTCCTTTAGTACCTGAAGTTGTGAATAAGCAGCTGTTTACAGTGTTGGAACCTCAGGATAATGTGATGTGCCCTTGTCCTTGAAAAATTTTCCTGCCAAACGGGGCAGACAGAACTGTAACCATGAGCCCATTTCCCGGGTTTCTGAGCATCATCACAGGCAGCTCTTGTGGATCCTGACTTCCTTTTCCTGAAATCCTGTGTATTAAGCATCAATTCTACTACACCTTCTCTTAGAATAGCACTGCTGATTATGGAGAGGACTCGCACCCCAAATACGCCCCTGAAAAACAGCGGAGTGGGTAAATCACAAGGTTGTTACTAAAGTTCTGGCATGTCCATGGTACTAGAACAGAGGTATGATTGTCAGGCAGAATTATTTCTACTTTAACATTCCGTCTTTCCGTTGCTAAAATGACAACTCCAAGTCACGTCATTAAGCACATGGAATGGGAAGGTTGCCTGTTTTCCTGCATTTCACCGTGTGAAAGCCATTGCTTTGCTCTCCAGCAGCTGAGCTCAGTGCTCCTGCCTGAGAGCTCTCCTCTCCCTGCAGGAAGAAGCCCACACATGTGACAGTGAACTGCTGGTTCTGCAATCAGGACACGGTGGTGCCCTACGGGAACCGCAACTGCTGGGACTGCCCCAACTGCGAGCAGTACAACGGCTTCCAGGAGGTACAGGGGGTACAGGAGGTACCTGGGGGTACAGGGCTTCCAGGAAGTACAGGGGGTACAGGAGGTACCTGGGGCCTGAGCCTCGGTCAGGGCACTGCAGCAACACCGAGGGGCATGGCCAGATGTTGGACAGCTGGCAGCTCTGTGCTGAGCTCAGCACCTCTGCTTGGAGAAAGAATCCACTGCACTGGGGTGTGCTGACTAGAGAGATGCAGACAAATTTCCCTCTCTTGCATTAAAGGAAAAAAGTGGCTTTGACATATCTCTTTAAAAATACTTTTTTTTTTACTATATGGAACAATTCTTCTCTGGTTTTGTATTCTGTTAAATAGCAAAACCTACCTTAAGCTGATGTCCAGCATCAGCAGCTATTTGTGACAGGTGTGCAGGACAGTGGAGATGGGGGAAGATTTGAAGCATTTTGTCTCTTTTTTTACTTATTTATTTTGTTACAGAGGTGAATGCTATTGAAATGTAGAGCTGCTGACAGAGTTTAGGGAATCTTGCTGTCAACGTAGCTTTGATTTCATGACTGAATGTTTGCTTCTCCCCCTGCTTTTTGTCAGAATGGAGACTACAACAAGCCCATCCCTGCCCAGTACATGGAACACCTTAACCACGTTGTGTCGGGCACTCCAACTTTCTGTGACCCTGCCAAACCACAGCAGTGGGTGAGCAGCCAAATTCTGCTCTGCAAGAAATGCAACAACCATCAAACCATGAAAATCAAACAGCTGGCTTCATTCTCACCAAGGGAGGAGGTGAGTGTTCGTTAGGGACTGCCATCACTGGAGAGTGTTTGTCCAAGGCATTCCCATCCATGCTTCTGCTATTCCTGCTCTGTTACTCCATGCTGCAGCCTAGCAGGCAGGAGACAGAGCAGTTTTTCAGTGTGCTGTGGAGTGATTCTCCCACAGTCTTCAGAAGCACTGTGTGGCATTCCAGTGCAGAGAAGTTCAGTGAATAATGTTGCAAATTTACCTAAGTCTACTGCAAAGCTGGAATGCTCCCCTGTTCTAGAGTACTGGAAATTAAAGCTTGAACCCAAGACATTTCTGAGATCATCTTACAACTCCAGTACTTCTGTGGCTGAGTTCATGGGACCTGAGAGGCACAACAGACCACTAGTTAACATGAAGCCTTAATAGATTTTGTTTTCCTGAGGCCCTGGCTGTGCTGCTCTACATTTACAAGTGAAGTGGGAGAGGAATCCTGTGCAGCCACATGATTTCCCTGGTTAGGCATCTGTGCCTAGGAGGGCCAGACGGATTTTGCAGTTACAGCAACAGGATTTCCTGCTGAGCAACTTCTTGGCCTTCCCATAACTTAATATGCATGGAGGATGGGATAGTGGGGTTTCTCCTTCACAATTTTATGGCTCCCTAAAGTTTTGTGCAGAGAATTTAGTGCTGCACTCCTTTGCCTTCAGCCGTGTTCAAGCCTTGGGGTTAGTCTGTGCTGTAGTGTGATGTGTCTGTCCTCTGGCTTGCCTAATCCAGTCTGCTTTGTGTGATTATAATGAGTTTAACCAGAATGACTCTCAGAGAACAGATTGAAGCTTGATTACGCTTAAGGAGAATATCTTTGGCTGGTGCCCTTTTCTCAGCTTTATTTCTAGTCCCTGCCTTTTGCCAGACCTATCCAGTTGCTCAAGTACTGCCAGCCTTTGGCCCCTTTTTAGACATTCAGTGAACTGCAGTGCCTGAGCCAGCTGAGAAAGCTGGGATTGTGTTATCCAGCATGCTTGGATAAGGGTGTCAGTGACAGCAGGGGCCTTGCACAGCAGGGCTGGCTGTCCCAGGGAGGGATGAGCCTGGAGTGAAGGAGGAACAGGTATTTTGTATCCCCTCATTTGAGGAGAGAAAGAACAATTCTAGTTACTTGTTTCACCTATGTGGAAATCATAATATCTCAACAAAGACAGCAAAATCTGGCACGGAAATTCAGCATCCTGATGTTGGGCCACATCATTCTTCTCCAAGGCTCTTTTCTGCCTTCTCTTCTGGGACATGGAAGCTGGGTCAGCTGTGTGTGAGGCTGGCGGTGTGCCTGGCCTGTGGTCGCTGTCCAGGCCTGTTTTCAGGGAGCTGTCCCTGTAAGGCTGCAGCCACGCTTCGCCCTCCTGTCAGGAGCAAACCTGACAGCTGCCCCTGCACTTCTCACCTGCTTTTCCCCTGCTGTTCTCTCACCAGGGCAAGTACGACGAGGAGATTGAGGTGTACAAGCACCACCTGGAGCAGACCTACAAGCTGTGCCGCCCGTGCCAGGCTGCTGTGGAGTATTACATCAAACACCAGAACCGGCAGCTGCGGGCGCTGCTGCTCAGCCACCACTTCAGGCGCCGGGAGACGGACAAGAGCTACAGCCAGGTACTGGGGACACCTGGGGAGGGCAGGGACAGGGAGGAGATCTGTGCCACTGCACCTGGGAATGGGAGGCAGCAGCCTGGGGCTCTCTAGCCCTGAGAGCTTGGGTGTGTGGCAGCAGTTTAGAAGAGCACAGGAGAGTTGCCACAGATGCTTCTAATGTTCGTTTGAGGTTTTCCTCTCGCTGGTGTCATTCAGCACAGTTACCAGAAGGTAAGTCTAATCTAATAATACAGTGGAAGGCAAACAATGGGATAGGCAGAGAAAGGGAGATAGGGAAGCCTATTTATGAGTGTAGTGCAGGAAATTACAGAGTAGGAGGGGAAAAAAGAAAAAGAAAAGAACAATGGGAATGGAATTACGACTTTCTCCTTGTTTCACTGCCCTGCCTGTCCTTGGCCTCTGCTCGTGTCTCTGCCATCGCTCCTCGCTAGTGTGCAATAATCCCATGTGGTATCAGCCCAGTACAGAGAGCAGAACAGTCCAGTCTGGAGGTGTTTCATACTGCAACATTTCAAAACCTCGCTGCAGTCCACTGAGCTTCTGACAAGGTGTTTCTCCCTTCCTCTGCAGAATCTGTGTTCATCCTCCTCTTCCACTTGCATCACCACACCAGCTCAGGTGATACTTCTGCGGTTCCTGGCCTTCCTCAGCTGCGCCTTCCTGGTTCTGATGGCCTTGTACGGGTCAGGCGACCCCTTCTCCCTCAGCACAGCTGTCCCTGCTCCTGTCCCCTCTGCCCCCCTGCGGAACAGGACCGGCGTGGGCAGTGCCGGGGGCAGGGGCAGTGCCAGCTCGGGGCAGGGCTGGCAGGAGCTGCTCCACCTGCTCCCACAGCACCTGCTGGAGAGCCTGAGCGCGGCGTGGGCCTACGGCAAGAATCACCAGATGGCAGTGGCCGTGCTGGGGCTCTTCACCTGCCTGCTGGCCATGTTCCTGGCTGGGCGCATCAGGTGGGTGAGCCTGGCTCCTGTCTCGCTCCAAACTGCTCTGGTGGCAGCTGGCTAGTCCCGTGTTGTCTCGGTGATCCTGGGGTAAACGTTCTCCAGAACGGCACGTGCAGTGCTGCATGCCTTGTTTCATTCAATTTAAGCTCAAATTACTGTGAATGCAAAGTTGCCTGTGGAGTCCTGGTAGAAAATGGAAGTGATCTGCACAGTCACTTGCCCGGCAGTGGGCAGGGCTGCACACGATGTGCTGTAGTCAGAGGCAGTACAGAACCTGCCCAGTCTGGGCACCCTCCCCACCTTCCCTGTCTCTCCCCAGGACCCAGGTGTTGAGCAGTGGTGTCTGAACTCTTGTTTGGTTCCTTGTCCCGTCGCAGGCTCCGGCGGATCGATGCGTTTGCCTCGGTGCTGTGGCTGGTGGTGATGAGCCTGCATCTGGCCGAGCGCTACCTGAAGACGGACAGGCCCAGCTGGCTGGACACGGCCAAGTTCAGCACCACGTCCCTGTGCTGCCTGGTGGGCTTCACCGCAGCCGTGGCCACGCGCAAGGCAACGGGCCAGCGGAGATTCCGGCCCCGAAGGTCAGAGCCAGAGCAGTGACGCTGGGGGAAGGAGCAAAAAAGCCTTGTGAACTCCTTGCGACTGCTGCTTCTCTCTCCTCTTGTTATTTTCCCTTCCTCTGTTTCTCTTTTTTAAAGTTAGATGAGCAGTGAAGATCTCTTCTTCCTTTTTTTTAATGCATACATATTTATATATACACGTATATATATGTGTGTCTGTGTATATATATATGTATATATAATTTTTTTCCCATCCTTGCTTACCACTGTGCTGGCTGCTCGGAGCCTTTCCACTGCTAGCCATGGAAGCTACTTGAGCTGCCTCCATTCTCCCTTCCTCCTGCATCCTACGTCAGCAGTACAAATATCCAGCTTCCCCAAAGTCAGTTCTTCCAGCAGCTGCCTCACAACCTGCTCCATAAATGCAACTTCCTCCCCATTCTGCTCCTCCAGCCAAAGAGATTCTGGCTCCTCCTGTCCTCCTGGTTCTTCTCACTGCCTCTCCATCCTTAGCCACTCACAGAGGAACCCTCTGCCCTGATCCACATCGGGGCCCGGGCCACCTTCACTTTCCTAATGGTGCTGGTCATTTTAACTTGGAACTGATGGGAACTTGCCTCTGGATTTGGAGTCCTTGTTAACACGTGCTGTGGTGCCCAGGCATGCGAGGAGGGGACCACACAGAGCCCATAGCCTGGTTCTTCTTGCCTTCCACTGTGTAGCATCACTTACCTGCATCCTGTCTCACTCTGCCCTTCTCCTGGCTCCTGTTTTAAATGGAGAAGTGTCCTTAAGTCCTTTTGACTGAAACTTCAGTAATTTATTCAAAAAGGTGCTTCAAAAAGTCATGTAGCTCAGGGTGTCTTAATACCTGAAACAATTCAGCTGTTTGAGGTTAAATTTTCAGATCTACCAGTGGTTGCTTTCAATGCCAGTTTTCCTTGGGTTTTTTATACCCACCTGCTCCCCGAGCAACATCTGTGTATAAGCACAACTGGATAAAAATGTTCCTATGTTTCTCCACTCCTGTAGCCTTAGAAAGAGAAGTATGGGTTTGACAGCCTCATGCTGTGATACCTGGTCAGCTTTCATTGTGCCACTCGGTCAGTGTTTATTGCTGAGAACACAGACTGGAAGGGTGTGCTGTAGGAAGGGCTGGGAGCTCTGCTGTGGCACTGCATGACAACAGAGATGGATTTTTTTGGGGTTACTTGCAGGGGTTCCTTTTGTAGTCTGGCATTGTGCTAATACTGCTGAAAAAAAGGGTTTGGAAATTGTGACTTGGAGTTGAGTGCCTGGGACTCCTGCTGAATGCTGGAGTGCCTGGGTGTTCCTTTGTGGAGAGGAAGGAACTTCCAGCTCTTTGGGTTTTTTAGGATTAACTTGTTGGGGCCTCTTAGGATAAGCAGTCTGATTATCCTGCACAGCTGTTTGAAAGGCACTCCACTGAGTTTCTGATATGGATTTTGGTCTTTCAAGAGGAAATAGCACTTTTACAGAAGATCTCTTATTTTCTTCTGTTCAGAATAGCACAGTGGAACTCACCACCCTAATAGTCTGATATAAGTTAATTGGATCTAGTCATCTTCCAGTGTATAAACTATAAAATAGTCAGAATGGAGCTCTCACTGTGAAGTATCTGCAACTCCTGCTGAAAAATGCGGACACTACTGGGTGCTGCAGATGCTGGTGAAATTAGAGGAGCTTTTCTAAAGGAAACAAAAGCTATTTCCTAGCTGTTCATGCTTGCTGTTCCTCAAACTGGTGTTCATTGTGAAAGCATAAAGGTAGCACTGCCAAAAGCTCTGAAATTCGTTAACAATAAGCCAGGCTGAGTCATGGGAAGGTGCAGCTCCTGCTGTGTGCTGTGACTTAGCAAGGGAATGGCCACACAGACCTGCTGCCCACCTGGGCTCTCCTTTGGAGTCCTTTACTGGTGCCTTCAGATAACTGTAATATCTACACATATCTAACAGATACTACAAGCTAACAGAACCTGGCTCCATTCTGGTGCTTGTGAGTGATGCTGAGGGTTGTTTACTTACCCACAAAAGGGATCCAGCACCTGCCAAGTCTGGTTCCATCTTCCACATTCCCATTATTTATCAGTTCTGACCCAAAGCATTTGTCTTCCAGCTCACAGGCATGGGAAACCTTGAGCTGTTATGGCCACTAGGTGAAATAAGGCATCTGGGCTTTTTTTTTGATTCCTACCTTTCCTCCTGCTTCAGGACTTCCAAATTTTCCTCATAAAGTACATGTAAGAAAAGGCTTATCTGTGATTGTCTTCTGCACTTGCCTGTACAATTTGGATTGAAAGTTCCTCTTGCTGTTCTCCTGTGAAATGTGCCCAAGGGATGGGAGGAATCTCATATCTGAAGGATATATTGAGAAGGCTCAAAGGAGGGGTATGAGAAGCTGACAAACTCAGTGGGAATGGTCATGGTAATGTCATGCCTGATTTCTGTCAGCAATATCCTTTTATGAATAAGAATGAAATGAATCTGTCCAAATTTTCTTGCCCAGTGGTAAGGAAACTCTCAGTGGCAGCTTCTGAAGATGGCTGGCAGCCTCTTCAGCTGTTTTATTTTCAGGAGCTGAAAGTCAAGGCTGTGTTAAGTTTCACTGTGTCCCATTTCTTTTCATCTCCTGTCTCCTCTAAGTGGCTGTTTTCCTCCCTTTTTAGGAGCACTTTGATTTTTGCTTTCTATTTAAACTTGACTCATCCTCAGGCTCCTTGGGGTCAGGCACCTTTTGTGGTGTTTTGCTCTTGAATGTTACATTGGTTTACCATACCTGTTCCTTTCTCTGATTATCTTTTTCCCCTGTGCAGTGCTGGGATGGGCTGGGGAGGATGCACACTAAATGTTGGGAACAGGCACTTGGTAGAACCATGGGAAGGAGAGGATTTACACTGTGAAGCCTGAATAATCCTGTTAAGGAATATTGTAGCTCTGTTTGCACAGCAAGTGCAAATCAATACTGAGTAAAGTCCTTTAATGTGGGAGATATGTTAACTGCAAGTGACATCTGTTTGTCTTTGCTTTATGCAGATTAATACACATGAAGTATATTTACTAGTTGCACTAATTTATATGTCAGAACATCAGAAAGTTACTTTGTTTTATGGCCAAGCTCTACAACTGATCTCTGGTGCTTTGTTCACAACTTACAACTGAAGAACTTTCATGCTTGTATTTGGGAAAATTTCAAAGGTGAAACAGAATAACAAAGTACATGTTGAAGTGGGGTTCATTTAATGCCAAAGAAGCTTTTGTTTTTGCTCAGGTGTCAGCTTATTTTCCCCACTTCTCAGTGCCTCAGCATGCTGCTGCTGCTTCTAAAAACAACAAAAACCTCAGAGCCTCAAAACCAACCTCGCAGCAATTGGGTTTTTGGTGGTTTAGAGACTCTGATGCTGACAGCCTCCTTTCTTTCTCCTTGTCTCTCATGTTTTTGCTGAGGGTTGAGGATGGTGGATCTTTTGGGATAAGGGAAGAAAGGAGGAGAAGGGTGGGTTTTGTCCAGAGGTGTTCTGATTTATAAACTGTAGCATTCAATCTGTACCACTTGTGTCTCAGACAATGAGCCCTGCAGATAAGTTATAAGTTAGCAGTATTCTGCTGTTGACTGTGGAAAAAAAAATAGTCAAACCACTACTGCCTTTGCTGAGACTGTTCTTGCCACACCTGATTTCAAAGCCAAATAGGCTGTTCTAGACACTGCCATGCCATAGGCTCTGTATGGAAGGTGCTTTGCATTTTTCACTCAGCACTTAGATATATCATCTGTGTCCTCTAGACGTAGATATCTGAGGTGCACTGTCTAACTGCATGTTTGCTCACCCCACCGTGAGTCCAGCAGGAGAAAATGTGTGTTTTGGTGCACAGTGGTCCTGTCCTGTGCAGCTGAGGTGCTGTTTTCTGTGACACATTTCCTTCTGCTGGGGGGGATAAGAGCTTACAAAGGCTTGGTAGCTACCAAGCACAGCTGACACAAAATCATCCAGAATCACTTGGTCAGTGCTTTGAGCTTCTTGTTTTGCCTTAGCTGGGCTCTTACTTCAGGCCACAGAGGAACACATGGTAACCTTTGGTCTCCAGGTGCAGTTTTGTTGCCTGAGGATTCTCTCAGTCATGCAGGCCAGAGCATGCAAATATCTTAACAATATCAGAGGGTTTTAGCCCAAAAGCCCCTAATCTGAGGTGCTGCTTTTTATACTAACCATGTGTCTGGACCAGAGGATGGTAACAGCAGAAGAGAGCTGAGGTGCTGAGGGATTGTTAGTGGGTTTGTGTCACTTGAAATCAAACCTGCTCCATCCCCAAGTGCCTAACCCTGGCCCTCAGTGTTCTGGCTGATCTTCCAACTTAAAATCTTGTACCCTGCCCAGCACAGCCAGATTTACAAGGGGGCCAGTGGGGGTTCATTAAGTGCCTTTCCCTGGACAAGATTTGGGACAACACTGTGTTGCTTTGCCTGGTTGGTGCAGCGTGGAACAGCAGCGTCCGTGCGTCTGCCAGGCTTCTGTCCTTCCTGTGCCAGCACTGAGTGTGGCAGGGCACAAGAGGACACCTGGGCTAACATTTCTGAGCAACTCTGCAGACTCTACAGGGGGGTGAGGGAGAACCCAGAGGTAGCAGCCAAGTCAGCATCTCTGCTGCTGCTGCTGCTTCTCTTCTTCCTGAGGCCCTCAGTGACATCAGTGCATGCAAAGTGACGCCTTTGTGCCCTCCACCATTCTGAATACACTGTATTTATATCCACTTCTTTCCTTTCTCTTAACTCCTCCTTTCCTACATCCATGCTTTGCATGCCCTAGTGAGCTTGGGTGTGTCAAGGGGTGAGAACATGTGGGAATATAAAAATGGTGTAGTGGCTTATTATTTTGGCTTTATGAGTATTTTTCAAGTGTGCTGGAATTATGTGATGCTAATATTCATGCTTAGATACTATAGGAAATATGTATTGATGTAATGTGGACAAAGTATTTATGCTTTTATAAAAATTAATATAATTAATAGCCAGATAATTGCTCCAGACTGACTGCACTCATGAAAGTTGGAGGGAGCTGTGGTAAATGACTTTGCTTTGGTTTTCAGAGATGCTGTTGAAATTGTGTGCTGTCACATACAACTGCCAGTTCCCTCCAGGTGTGCTGTCACCTGCAAGTACCCTTGGCTTTCTGAGCCCTGGCAGGTGCTCTCCAGGGAAAGGGACAGTACCCAGTCCTGAAGTCATCCCCTGTAAAGCCTCGTTTGGGACCAAAGCTCTGGAGTGCACAGGCAGGAAGAGGTTCCCTGAACATTTTTGGCATGCCAGCAAGTCTGGATTGTGTAGGCATAGGATGTGCATACACACACACCTCCTCACTTTGTGCCACCAGCTAGGGGGAAAGGCAAAAAGATGCCAAGCATCTGTGCTCTAAAAGGTCTCAGTGCAGGACGTGGCAGCTCAAATTCAACTCTCCTTTTTCATCCAAGGCAGGACAACAGGCAAGAGACAAGAATTCTTACCCTTGGCAGCTGAAGCTTTCTAAGGCACATATCAAAACAGGAATGTTGTCTGTGAGCTGTGCCCATTTCAGCATTACTGTCCCTTGTCCCTGTGCCTGTTCTTATCCCCAAACTGCTCTTTGCTCCTGGTTCTGGGGATGTGACGGAGGCACAGGCTGTGGCCCTGGGTGAGGAGGTGCAGCAGAGCAGGGGCAGGGCAGACAGGGTGCTGCTCCCCAGCAGTTCTGGGGTGACAGGGGCCTGTTGTGCACCCCCTGCCCAGGAGAGGGGGGCCCTGCTGCACAGGGGTAGCTCACTTCTGAGGGGACATTATGTTCAGAGAACGAAACATTTCATCCCCTGGCTGACACGTGGCTCCCCAGGCTGCCTGCCTGGGACTGCATCTCACCTTCTTCCTTCATGGGCTGAATTACCTGATAGACAAAGGGGTCCATCTGCAGCCTGGCCTGCCCTCCCGTGCCTCTCTCTGTCCCAGGGATGATGCAGCATCTCTGGTAAATGTGAATTAAAAAGGCACACACGGATGGTGGTGTCTGTGGATGACAGGGAGCTGTTGGGACAGAGGAGGGGAGGCTCTCCTGGCAGGAGGTGTTTCTTCAGGACCGTGTACAGTCCCATTCCATGTAATATCCCTTCTTTAACCTTCTATTTATTTATTTTTAAAGTATCTGTGTAGCAGAGTTGTGCCCAACTGTCTAGTAACATTGTGATCATTGTAAACACTAATTAAGATACCCAATTTTTGATGTTCACAATATCAAGTGCTGAAATAAACGGCTTCCGGGCCTTGACTATTTCCACAAACTGACTCCAGAGCCTTTTTTTTTCCCTTCTTTTTTTTATGTTATTTTTTTTACTGTAGCCAGAGCCACTATTGCCACGTGACAAATGGCTTGGAGCAAACACAGCTGCACTGCTCCATCCCACCAGGGCTGTGATGCAGTTGCTTCCTGCCTTATGATCATCTTGATCTCCTCACCTTTTTGATTTTGCTTCTGGAAGAAGTTTTAGTTCAGCTGCCCATTCTCAGGCATGAAGCACATTCCCATGGGAGCTTTTAGCAGCATCAAGCCCTCTTGACATGGCAGTGGGAAACACTAAAGAGTGCAGAGAACAGGAGCAAGATTTTGCACACTTAGCAGGAATTTGTTCAGAACAGATCAATGTTTAAGACATACTTTGGTCAGAATTCAGTCCTAAGGCATTAATAAGCTATACTTAAAATTCTTCAGCTCCTCTTTGCTAATCAGGAAAATTCCTTTTCTGGATGGTTCAAGACAAATGATTCTTCACTGCCCTGAGGATCTGGCTGCACTAACTTGGTGATGTTGAGCATTGGGGCTGTAGAGCCATTGGAAGCCTGATCCAAAACAGTTACAGTCCCAGGACTGATAAATGACTGTAATATCTTCCAGCCCATTAAATTAAAGACTTCCAAAAGCCAATAAACCAGTTAAGGTGTTTTCTGCTGCAGCAAGGAGCTGTGTAAAGTTGGATCCTTCAGCCCAAAGACACAGAAGGTGCAAAGTTAGGACAAAAGGGCCATGTTGCTCATGGGTGAAGCTCTGATCTGGCCCTCCACAGCTATGGTACAGTGAGGGGTAGGTATCACTCTTTCTCCTATGATTCATATCAGTCCTGAGCTGCACTTATAATTCCCTTTGCCATTCATTTCCTCTTACAAAGCTGAGCTGGGCACATTCATCTGTGTGTGGGGGTGTTCTAAAGGACTCCCCATGGGTGCAAAGCAGGACCCCCTTCACAGGTCCTCTGCAGCCTGGAGAGGTTGGGCTGCTGCAAGACACATCCCTGGCTGCTGTTAGAGGCCTGTCCTGCTCCAGGACCCTGCTGGGCTCACGTGTTCAGCCTCATTAAGCTGGTCAGGATTGGTGATGGCTGCCTCCTAGTAGCAGATAAGTAGTTTATAAAATACTTTAAATTGTAATCTTAATTCTAGAGTTAGCAGTGCATAATATTGCTGCACCACCTCTTTAACTCCAGGACAGAGTGACACGGGCATAAATCCTCCCAGTGCAAGGCTGAGATTTTCTTCACCCTCTGATTTACCCCTGGCTTTCCTCTGACAGAGGAAAAGCCATGTAACCATGTTGCTGCTCTCATCTGTCTCTGTTTCCATCAGAAGTGAGACTGAGCCTTCAAATATTGTATCTGCCAAATTGTATCTGCAGAGTCAGATATATCCATTTAAAAACATATGCACTTCATACTCAGTTCTTCATTATGATTTATCTGACAGTTCTATTACCTGCTTCTAACTAAAAAATCTTACAGAAGAACATTCAGAGATTCTGGTTCATATTCTATACTTTCTTCCATGTATTTTCATTCAATTGTTAAAAATAATATAAAATTCCTGTACTTTAACATCTGGACTCCATAAAGCATTCTCTGGGTAATTTTCCCATCCAAGGTATTTTCACTGGAATTCCTAAACTGTTCCACCCTCTTTTCCACCCTGTACTGTGGGACAGGTGCACAATAATTCAAGCAAGGTTGAGCAGTTTCTTTTCCCAAAGTGCAGGAGCATTCCCATAAACTCTTCATTATTCCTGCACTGAAAAGTTAGTCCAAACCTGGTAACAAGGGTTCCTGCAAGCACAAGGAGAGGCAGCTGCTGGGATTTCTCCTTGCTAAGTGTCTGTCGTGTGTGTCTTTTGCAGGTACCTCTCTGGGGACTCCATTACTGTCTTTCCCAGCAGCCCTGGCACGGCCTTCCCTTCACCTGCTACATCTCTGTTTGTCCCAACACCACCCAGCATCCTCCACCTGACAAACCAGCAGCTCTTCAGGTCCCCACGCAGAACTTCCTCATCCTCCCTTCCCGGCCGTCTCAACAGGGCGCTCTCGCTGGGCACCATCCCCTCGCTGGCACGGGCAGGTGAGTGCTCCAGAGGGAAGGCTGCAGGAGGAGATGGGCTGGGAGGGATCCAGGTGAGTGCTCCAGAGGGAAGGCTGCAGGAGGAGATGGGCTGGGAGGGATCCAGGTGAGTGCTCCAGAGGGAAGGCTGCAGGAGGAGATGGGCTGGGAGGGATCCAGGTGAGTGCAGGAGCTGTTGCAGAGGGAATGGCACTGCATCCACACGTTATGGTCCTGTTCAGGGATGGCTGCTCCTGTGGCACAGAGGAGTATGCAGCATTTGGATTTGGGGTTTGGCAGCAGCTGAGCCAGCTGGGTTCAGATTGTTTCATTTTTGCTTTTAGATTCTGGCTACTTGTTCAGTGGAAGCCGACCGGCCTCACTGTCATCCCAGTCCAAGGAGTCCCCTGCATCAGGTACTGACTGCTCTAGGCCTTCCAGAGCAACAGTCTGCAGGATTTGCACTGAGTGAAACACGTGGTCTGGCTGGATTCTTTCCTCTCTGCTCGCATTCCAGTGAAAATGTCCATTTTGCTGCTAGAAATGCTGCAGGGAGAGTCCCAGCTAAAAGTGGGATGGCATTAAAATCAGGTGCTGTGTGTGTTGGATATTCTCCCTGGGAGAGGTCATGGTGACATCAGTGACACAAAATAAGGAGCCCTTTGCTGATGAGAGCTGAGTTGTCCTGCTCAGACAGGAGACTGGAGCTGTTTCCAGGGCAGCTCTTGTGTAGCTTTCCCAGCAGAGTGCAGCATTGGCAGTTTGGCTGCTCCTGTCTGCTGTCCTGTCTGTTGTCCTTCTGCCCCAGATGGGTCCCTGGGCCCTTTGTGTTGCTGCAGAGGCACTCGCACCCTGGGCCAGTGCAAACCTCCTGCATCCCAGTGCACTTCCTCAGCAGCTCTGAAGGATGTGCCAGCACAGTTCATTCACCTGCAGAATGGATTGTGCAGCTCTCCTGGATGGACACAGCTGAGCAAAGAGAAAGCTCCTGATAACCTGATTCCTGAGTCATTCCCGAGTGTACTAAAGTACTCGTGGAATTTCTCTGTTCTGCAGTGTGGGGACTCAAATAAATAAATCATTTTAGTACAAGTTACATTGTGGCCATTTACAACTCGCCCTCCTTTTTCTGGCAGTACTGTTAAAGAGAGCTGTGCGTGTTGTAGTGGGATGCTAACCCTGTGCTTGTGTCCGTGGGGTGTTTCCATTGCAGATCCCTTGTCCCTGCTGTCCGGCAGCGCTGTCCCCTCCCGCATCCCGTCCCCGGCGCCGTCGGTGGCCGGCTCGGTGGCCTCGGGCTCGGTGGCCTCCAGCTCGGGGTCACTGCGCTTGCGCCGGCCGCTCATCAGCCCTGCCCGCCTCAACCTCCAGGGCCAGAAGCTGCTGCTGTTCCCGGCACAGAACGAGGCCCTGCTCACCCCGAGCGGCTCCGAGGAGCAAACCCACTCCGACAGCAACGCCTCTGCCCCCGAGCTGCCCGGCTTGCCCAGGAGGAACCTCGCGGAGCGGGGAGCGCCCGGTACGCTGCCAGTGCTGGCCATTCCCCGCAGGGAGGTCGTGTTGCAAACACAGCCCTGCAACATCCAGCCCACAACAGATGGGAAACCTTCAGGAGAGGCCCGGCTGGTAAAGTTTCCTGTCTTTTTCTCCTTGCAGATATGAGATCTGCTGTGGAAGGGGGGAGTATTTGTAGTGATAATTCCATCAAAAAGGAGGATCACTCATCACACTCATCTACCTGTGTGGTGGACACAACTACCAAAGGGGAAGATTTGGCAGGTTGGAAAGGTGAGTGCAAGTCCAAGTAAGTAGTTGTAAAATGGACCTGCTATTCTAAGATCTTAACAAAGCTGTTCCTGTTCTTTGGACTGTCTGAAGAACACTGACAAAGTGCTAAACAGAGACAGAAGAAGAGGGGTGGGGATACAGGTGGCAAGAGCATGAGATGTGATGAGATGAGATGAGAATAGAGCCAAAAGAGAGGAGTGGAGTCACTCCTGACAGCAAAAGTGCTTCAGCAATTTCTGCATGTGCTGGAACACTGGACAGAGAGAAACAGCACAACATATGTTGACATTTACTTACCAGTTCTTTAACATCTCTTTCTACTGTTCCCTTATTTTCTGTGTGTTCTCCTCTTCTGCCAAGGTCGCTTTGGTACCTCTGCCCTCCGGGGCTTGCTGGCCGTGAGCCTGACTCTCAACGCTGTCTTCACCTCAGCCTACGTCTACAGGAGCCTGCGCTGATTTGTGCCAGCACTCCCTTTCTCTCTGGTTCCACCTGGTCCTGAGGAGACAAGAAGAACTCAACCATGGCTCCATGGCCAATGGCCATGCCACGGGTGCATGCTGTTTTTTAAAAACCTACTGTACACTCAACTGGCATGAAAAGGAATCTGGGCAGCTGCTGCCATCACTTCCAGGTAGAAAATATCCCAGGATTGTCCCTGGAGATGGCAGGCAGAATTCCCAGCTCCAGTTCAAAGCAGGAGGCAGCCCAACGGCTCACATGCTTTCTTTGAAAAGAACTGACCTGAGACACGAGCCTGAAAATGTGTGAGCTGTGTTTTTAGGAACCTACCCCCAGCTCTTTCTGACATACTGACCTCGTGCTGATGGTGCTGGTAAAATGGGGGGAGTTAGAACAAATGAGCTGAAGAAGAGGGATGGCTTAGTAGCTGGTGCTGGGCTTTGGCTACTGTAACAGCATCCCCAGCCTCTGCTCAGTGGTTCCTCTTCTCTCTTCTCTTTGGCATTCTTCTCTAAATTGTCAGTGAACTTTCTTTAGTTGCCTTAAGCTTGCCTAAGCACATGGGTGACCTTGGCTGCTCTGTCATGTTCTTGCATCTTAGATGTCCTTGTGCTTCCAGCTGGGCCTGGCCCCGAGGCCGCTTTCCCCAGCTCCATTCTGGCTCCACTGGCTCTCGGCTGCTGAGTGTAGCTGTGTCCAGCCAGCTCTGGCTGCAGGGGAGCTCAGCCCCGACAGACACCCTGTGCTGCCTGCATCAGAACCTGGAAGCCCATGCTGTGCTTTGCCCAGGAGGCATCAACTGTGTTACTCTGAAGTGGGTGAAAGGAAAGGACCCCGGTGTGATTTGCACCAGTCAAAGGGCTTCAGCTCACAGCTCTGCTGGAGTTTTCACTGAAGCAGTGAGTGGCAGAGCCTGTTCTTGCTGTAAATCGCACAAATCTGTTCTGTTAGAGGTGGGTGAGGAGCTGTCTGATTGTATACATCTATCCAGAAACCTGACACCTCAGTTTGATGCTGGGATTTGCTAAGTAGCTGTTAAAGATATTTCTTGTTTAGTGAAATTCCCAGGTGCTCTCAGTGAGAAGTGCCAAACCTGCTTCTTGACAATTCAGCCTTCTGGGTAGATTCTTCTTTTCCAGCCCAAGGAAAGTAGTAGATTTTCAAAAGTAGTTTGTAATTTGGGTATTTCTGCTTTTGGGTGAGTCTTCAGCATTGCTTAGAATTCAGGGGCCATTTAGAGTATTGTGCTGAACACTCAGAATCATTTAGTGCATCTTAGAGGAAAAAATAGAAATCCTGATGTTGATGTTTTGGTTCCCAAAAGCCAAGTGCAGAGAGGTTTACCAGTGTGTCAAAAATACCCGGTGAGAAGAGAGTTGACTGGCATTAGCTGTGTATTTCCTGAAGCAGGACTTGGATCTATTAAGAGTTTTTCTGTTGTCTCTTCCTCTGGGCTCCTTTACCTCAAATTTCACTCCCCCACCCCACTGCCCTGTGTTTGCATCCTAAATTGGTGCTGTGTCTTTCCCTCCCTTTCAGTTTGCTGCTGTTCCCTCTCGTGTGTTCTTGCATGTGCACAGAACAAAGCGTGTCTGCTGCTGACCACTGTCTGCTCTGACCCTGAGAGTCACTTCATTTTCTTCTTGTGTGTTTTAATTGAGTTCCTACCCCAGCCTCACTCGGTAGCTGATGGGAGCCCTAGCCAGAGTCTAATCAGCCTGCATGTGACAGCTTAAATGGGGCTTTCCTGCTGCTGATTCGAGCACTGAAAAACCGAGTGTCTGTGTTTGCCAAGTCTCCTTGCATGGTTCCAGCTGCCACTTCCAGCTGCTGCTCCCGCCCTCCCTGAGGGTGAGACTGGTCCCTGCCAGAGCTGCACTCACACGTGCTGCTCCGAGGGCTGAGGAAAGGTCGCTCCTGACTCTGCATCTCCTTTGGCCTCCTCAGAGAGCTGCTGCAGGGCTGTGAAGGGCAGCACCTCCTGGACAAGGGCCCAGGGCCAGGAGAGACCTGCAGCAGAAAGATGTGCTGCAGACTGCTGATGAATTGTGTTGTATCTTGCATGAATAGTTCCTTGTAGCCAAACCGGACCCATAACCTGTTGTAAAGAGATTTTTGTCCCTTTTATAGACTTTGCACGCTCACCCGAGCATGTGTACAGGCAGGATGATGGCAGAGCAACTGCCAAGCTTCTCTTTAAACCTCTGCTCCCTGGGTTCCATGATGTTCTGGTGCAGTGTGTGACATCCCATTCACGGATCCTTGTCCTGCCTAGAGGCCTCCTGCAGAGACGAGCTGCCAGAAGATGCTGTGGCTTGTCTTTATCACCCAGCAGATGTGCACTGTGACTTCATGTATGCAAACCTCCCACTTCCACCTCCCAGCCTGCGCTGAGTTTCACCACCACACTCGACCAGATTGCAATACCAACCTTGTCCTCCTCATTGCAATACCAACCTTGCCCTCCTCTCCAGCAACCCAGGAGCTGCAGCATCTCCGCACACCTCTTCCCACCCGCATTCCAGAGCAGGAACGCTGTAACCTGTCACTGCACTTCTGTGGCTGCTCACTCAGACTGTTCCTGGAAGGGGTTTGGTGACCTTGTCCAAAGCAATAGAGAGACTTTGGGTTTTATTACTGAAGAGGGAAGTTTTTCATTCTGGTGCTAGAACTCTCCCGTGGTGCTCTCACAGTTGTGAAGCCTTTGCTTGAGGAATACACGAGTGTGTGTGTGTGTGTGTGTGTGTGTGTGTGTGTGTGTGTGCCTGCTGATACACAAAAACATTTGGAAGGTTTCTTCATTTCAGAAGATCTGAGCCCATGTTTGTGTTTATATTGTTGGCCTTAATCTAGCTCGTAGATACTGTGTCTATCTTGCTGCTCTTTTCTCTACAAAGCTGGTTTGGAGGAAGCAGAAGTTTATCTGGTCCCCCTGTAAAAATCTCTGTGACTGATGATGTTGATCTTCATACAGTGTTGCTCAGGGGGGGAGATTTTATTTTTCTAATACTTTTCCTACTGTAAAAATTGTTGGAGTGTATGGAGTGGAAAAGATCTTTACAAAATGGCCTGATAAAGATTTGAACATGACTTAATAATACCAACAATTAATGATTAGGTGGAATATAAATGAGCTTTATTTCTACACCTTTTCCATTTCCTACTTTCCATTGAAAATGTCCAGGTACTTCTTCTTTAGATATGGGCTTGTTAGACATGTTCTGAGACCTTGCAGATACTTTAGATGATTTTGCTGTTCTGAATTAAAAAGAATTTGTATTTTGGAGTCTGGTTCCAGTTCTGCAGTCTGGGAAGTTTGGCAGATGTGACAGATATTATGCACATATCTATTTGATGGGATAGAGGGAGTGGGTAGAACGAGTTTCTGGTTTCTGAAGTTTATCATATCTTTTGACATAAAAACACAGACATTAAATTGGTCACTGTGTGGGGAAATATCCTTACTGCTGGCATATGTAGGCCAGATTCACTGAATTTTAGGCTATTTGTTCAAGCAACAGATCAGGCCTGTGAATGTTTGATTCCCACTCCCTCTTCCTGGGTGCTGGGAACATCTGTAAAACACTGCTGACCTGGCTGGGTTCCTTGTGACAGGGCAGCTGGACTGAAGGGCTTCTGTTGCCTGTGGATGCTGCTATATTTTTTTCTTCCAAGCACCATTCCTGGAAATAACGATGGTCTTAACCTCTCTCACAAAGATTTGTTAAAAGCCTGGGATGGGCCAATTTGGCCCATACTTTTTTTTTTTTTCCCTTCTTAAATATACGTTGCATCCAGAAATTATCATCACTGTGTTCTGGTGTGGGAGTAAGGTACAGAGTATTTTTGGATTCAGTGGGTATCTAGAGAGGGTGAGGAGGACAATTTCAAGTCCTAAACCTTATTTCCTGTGAAAGAAAGACTGTATGTTATGTGTGTGTACTTCTTTGGGGAGCTCTATCACTGTACAGTTTAGTTAAACATGCTCCAAGGAAGGAGAAGCTGTTCCTCGGAGGTTTTTAGTTCATGCTTTGTGTTTAAAGAGGAATATTTTTCTTTAAAAAATAAAACCGGATAAGTTTTCACCTTAGTGTGAGTGGTCCAGTTATATGCACACCATATTTCTGTGTTCATTGGGCACTTAAGTGTTTGGGTTTTTTTGTGAAATCACGACTGAGAGTATTTATGTATTATTGTACCATCTTTATGTTTTATTTTGTAATGTAAATTTCGGGGGCAGGTAGCATAAGCTGATCAACACTTTTTAAAGGAGGATATATTTTAATTAATGACTGGCAACAGCTCACTATTCTGTACATACAGGTGTGTTTTGAAGGATTTAATGACCTGCAGTGCTTGCACAGATGCAACACTGGTAGAATCCACGTTGCCGCAGCGGAGCAGCTTCTTCATCATCCTCCGGTACCTGCAGGACCTGCAGGGGTGATGGGGGGCACAAGTGCCGGCTGTGTTTGCCCTGATCCCGCGGGGGTAACAAGCGATGGGCATTCACCGGCTTTGGTCGCAGGGACCTGCTCCCGGCCACGGCCAGCGCTGAGCTTTGCCCCGACCCGTGCCCGGAGCCGCCCGCAGCCCCGCCGGCCCC